CATGAAAGATGAGTAGGTTGTCATGATGGGGGGAAGGAGGATGGGTGGGTTGTGTGAATTCACAGATGACCACTTGAAGAAGTACAGTTGCTGGTAAGTAACCTGTCCTTCTTTGTGATCTCTGTGAATCACACATATGGGTGACTGGCAACTTGCCTGCTAGTAAGATGTCATGGAAAAACAGATTAAATCACTGGCCTGCCAAAGGTAGCATCAGTCTTGGCCCTCACATCCAATTGGCAGTGTCTCACAAAGGTGGAAGGCTGAGACCTTGCTACTGCCTTACATGTGTTGGCCAGTTGGATGAGAAAGGCCATGGAAGTGGCTAAAGTTCTCGTAGAACGCACCTTCAGAGTCTGTGAGCTCTTTTAGAGGTAGTTGTGTTAGCCTGTCATATTGCATATCTGGCAAAAAAAGGAAACAAAGACAAAAATCTTAAGGATTAATGGTTATATTTTAATATAAGCTTTTGTGGACAAGTCCATTTCCTCAGGCATAAGAGGAATCTCTTTGAACTCTTTGTTTGCCAGCTTTTAAGCAACGGTAATTGTCTCTACAATCATTTAGAAACTTGTTGAGATTATGAGTGTCAGGACCCTGGTAGCTAACAAATAAGTTTATTTGCTTTTCTGAAGCACTTGGTCTGAGACACATAGAAGGCAAGCACATGCCTGACATCTAAGGAATGAGGAGAATACTGCACCTCTGAATAAGGGGATGGGGAAAAGGTTAGTAATACTAAAGGTTGGTTGAGATGGAATTCAGATAACACTTTTGGAAAGAATGTCAAGACTGAGTAAAGCGTAACTTTAATGTTACGAAACTGTACAAAAGGAGGGTCAACCTCAATGGCAGCAAGTTCACTTGTACTGCATGCCAAAGTGATAGCCGCAAGGAATAAGGTTTTGCAAGAGAGAAGTTTGAAGTTTGAAACTGCTCATGGTACAAAGGGAAGTCATGTCAATTGGTGAAGGCCCAGTAGGAGCAACCATGGAGTGGGTGGTGCGTGGGCTGCTGAGTATAGATTTTTCCGTCTTTTCAGACATTACTTAAAAGTGGGATGCTGAAAAGACTGAGAGGCTGAAGCTCTAGCTGCTAAGCTACTATGGCAGAGAGGTACACCTTGAAGGTACAGTGGGATAATCCTTGCTCCTTCAACTATAGGAATTTCAAAACAGTATTGAAAGTCATAGGGCAAGGAGACAGATGATTTGATTCAGCATAGCATATCAACTGTTTCCATTTATATGAATAGTCTGGCGGATGGCTTTCTGGCATGAGCCACTGTATGTATTATGGTAGGTGAATTCTCCATGCGGTAAGCTTCAACATCTGGAGATCTGGGTGAGGGATGTTGCCATTGTTCCGGATTTGTAAGAGTGAAAAATGGGCAGACAACAAAAACCCTGCTATAATCTTTAGATGAGCAAATCACAGTTGGTGAGCCCATCAGGAATCAATGACTAATGTGTTTGAGGTATCCTGACAATATTTTATTACAGTCATCTGTAATAGAGGAATGGGGAGGTCATTAATGGGTCTCCTCTGGAGTGCTTTCCGTGACCTGCATTTTCTGTTCTTTCTGGTCACAAAAATGTTGATCTTTGGATTATGTTAGTGGTGACAAATATCTTTGTATACATTGTGGTCCAGCGTCCACTCATATATCTGGACCATCAGTCTGCTCAACTGGTTGGTTATGTGGTTCTCCTTTTCTGCTACATACACAGCAACTGGAAAGATGTGGCGGGAAGTGCACCAGTCTCAAATATGAACTGTGAGGTATAACAGGGACATGGGAGTGTTCCATGTTTTTCAGATAGTCATTTGTACTATCTGACGTGAAAGCAGTGTTTCAAATGCTCTGAATGCATTTACGATTGCAAGTGTCTTGAGATGATTGATGTAGAGCATGTACTTCCTGACCATGGCAGTGTGCCCCCCAACCTGTAGGACTGGCATCGGTTGTCAAACTGTTGGACTAGGAGATTTGAAAGATAAATTCATAGTTGTAGGTGTTGTTAAAGAGACCTATCCTATCAAATGGAAAATCCTCTATACAGTGGGGTCTTGACTTGAGAACTTAATCCGTATTGGAAGGCGGTTCTCTAGTCAAAAAGTTCTCAGGTCAAATCTGCATTTCCCATAGGAATGCATTGAAAACCATTTGATCCGTATCTGCTCTTTTTCGTCCATAGAAACTAATGGGAAGCTGCTATTCCGCCTTCGACCACTAGAGGGGGATATTTTTCTTTTTTTCTTAGGTCAAGAAAGGTTCAGGGAAGGCAGGGAAAATACAGTCCAGGCAGTACCAGGCAGTCTGAAGACTGTCTCCCAATCCACTCTCTAAACGCTGGGAGGAGTGAGGAAGCAGACAGGCACCCTTTTCACTAGCCAACAGTTAACTGAAAGTTCAAATTTTGCACTTTCCCTGCCTCCCTTGTGGTTTTTTCAGTTCGTAACTCAAATCTAAGTACATAAGTCAAGTCAATATTTTCCTATGAGAGCGGTTCGTAAGTCAAAATGTTCGTAACTCGGGCCATTCATAAGTCAAGACCCCACTGAGTACAAGAGCGGGAATCCTCTGAAAGCCCAGCAGATCAAAGCCAGGCATAACTTTGTAAAGCCACAAATGTCAGCATATTCTTAGTTGCTGAGCCACTGGCATGACATGCTGCAATCATTTCCTGCATGGAAAGGGCAATGGTTTCATTGTGAAAAGTTAGGCCCAAGGCATGCTTGTCTTTGGGAAGGCTTTTCTGGAGAGGCATGCTTATTCCTAAAGAATCTGTGATAGGGATAGGCATGCTTATTCCTAAAGTATCTGGTAATTAGCTACCCTAATGTCCAAAGATGCAATAGAGCAGAGGTCGTCAATCCCCCCCCCATCCATGACCTGGTGCCAGTCTGTGGCCTGAGCCAGACCAGGCCGTGGAGACAGACCTCCCGCCCCCTGTATGCACTCCCCTCCCCACAGCTGCTTTGCGCGCACACATGCGTGCCAGCGCCTGCATGAGCCCTCTCCCACCCCTTCATGCATGTGCCCGAGTGCCCATGTGGGGGTGTGCAGGTGCTCCTGCGCATGCATGAGGGGGTGGGGGAGGGCTCATGCCAGCACCCACCGCTTTGCACCTGCAGGGTGTGTGTGCCCTGCCTTCTTCAAGGGCTCAGCCAGTCCGTGGTCCCAAAAAGGTTGGGGACCCCTGCAGTAGAGTACGTCCTTCTACTTCTACTACTGATTTTTCAGCCCTCTCTATTACTTGGGGTCACATTATGATGGCCTCTAGACCTGGTCTGGGATGCCTCCATGATTACTGAATTAGGTAGACGGTATTTGGAGAGAAAAGTTATTTCTAAGCCCTAGATCTTCTATAAGTTCTCTCTATATTGGGATATTTGCGGAAGCAATGAAGGCTTGGACCAAGATTCTCTGACTAGGTATAGGAAGGAAGGCAAAATACAAAGGCACCCCAGGGCTGACTTGTCCTTCTTTATCTGGTCATAAACATGGTCCAAGTGGGAAGGTGGTGGATGTTAGACCTCTAATTAAAGAACTTTAGCCATGCACAGGACCAGGTCAGAGTAAGATGTGTAGAAAAAAAGGAAGGATTGGTGCCACCAACATCTGACTAGAGAGCAGCATCAGTTCCAGGAAGGCCAGAGCAGAGGAAGTAGAACTGTCAAGAGGGTACGGGCAAGTCCTTATGGTGGGCAGGAAGTAATTTTGGCGCTGGAAACTGAGTAGCATTGTCGTAGTCAGTATGAAGCTTGCAGATATACTCAGTGCTGAGCTTGAAAAGATGCTCACAATGGCACAAAGTGGGCGATGCTGGAGAGGCAGAAGAGGGTTGAGAAATATCAGCACTGGGATGGGGAGCCTGAGATAGTTTTGACATTGGTCACTGGAACTGGTTTTCAAACGTATGTTTCAATTTTAAAAAATATGAAACTGAGCCCTATGATACCCCATAATAATACATAGAAGGGCAAGGACATAGGCGTGTCACACAGGGGGCCAAAAAGTTTTCCCCCTGATTCAGTGTTTGTTTGTTTGTTTGCTTATGTCTGTGTCTGTTCGTTTGTTTTTATCCTATCTTTCTCCTTAAAAAGAACCCAAGGCAGCTTACATCATTAAAAGACAATATTTAAAAGCTAAAAACAGTAAGTATTCAAATATTTAAAAAGAATTAAACAATTCTTTTTAAACAATTATCAAAACCAATTCTATCACCTACCAAAAACAGCAAATAAAACCAAAATGGCCGCCGGACCGCGAAAACATCGCTGGAGGGGTAAGTTTTGGCGCCTATTGGAACGCATTAAACTAAGTTTAATGCGTTCCAATAGGCTTTTCCTGCCCCGTACAGCGATGTTTTCGCATAGCGAAGGTTAATCCGGAACAGATTAACCTCGCTATGCGGGGCACCACTGTATTATGTACTATTTATATATTCTAGATGGTATCTCATTCATGTTTGCCACTAAGTGTTGACCCAGGATAGTTATATTGATAATCTGAAGCTTCTAGAAATGTATATGATCAAGGACATTTAAAAAATCTGTGAAGGAAGGTTGCTGAAAAGAGGAAAAATGAAGTGGAGGAGATCTAAGTTTTACAGTAGGAGATGCTAGCATGCAATCAATCAATGAGCCACATAGACCCAAGTTCATTTTTTGCCCCCAGCCTCTTCTTCTGCCAAATCTGCCTCTGACTATGGTCACCAAACTGTTAAAAGCTACTAAGAAAGCAGAAAACAGTTTTTTAAAAGTTTTTTTTTCATGGTTTGCTACCCAAATACAGCAAAATAGGAAAGTCTTATTAAAACAAAACATTCAATGAGTTTTTCTAGTTTGGTCTCCCAAAATTCAGCAGAATGATTTGCTGCTGCATTTCTGCAGGGCATCAGCAGTGGATATACACAACCTCCAATAAATATTTAAAATATAGCCATATAACACTTTAGGACAAAATTTATTAACCCTTAATGCATTGTACTTACTTAGGCTGCTTAACTGTCTGATAATATTTGCCAAGGAGATATTAGTAACACATTCCAGTTCATTCTTTACGCCTCGTGGTAGTGCTGTATGACAAAGATACCTAGGGTCTATGTTTCTTTTTACCAATGGCATCCTGAGATATCAAAGAGCCAATATACCTGTAAATAAATAGAAGAGCTAAATTATTATTTGACATAATTATCAAGTTCACTGTTCATACACTGAAATTTTTAATTTAATCAAAACAGTTACCTATAAATGAGTAGCATGATTGTACAACAGTAGGTAGCACCACAAAAGTTTCAAAGTTAACTTTTATTTGACTCAAATATACTAAGCATATTTGCCATGCTCTAGGTAAAATTCATAAAGAATACACGGGAAGGGAGACAGGTTAAATGAATCATATTTTAAAAACTTTGCAGCCAAGAGAAATGAATCCTTACTAATACTGGATTTTAAAAAAAAACAGCTTAATCTACTGACAGTTTTTGCTAGTAGTATTTTGCAGAAAATAGTTATTCCTACGTGCATCTTTCAAACAAACCAAACATTCTGGAAATCTGTAGTAGAAATCATAATTAAGAGCAGGGATGGACAATCATCATCTGAAAAGAGTTGAGTGGGAAAATTTTTCATCATATAATCTGATTTTTTGTTTTCCTCATTTAAATCCATTGAACTGTCCCCAAAAATTACCAAAAATTAACGAAGACTCAGAACAGAGCCAAATTAAGTTTGCATAGGTTTCACAAGGTGCACTACCGATTCCAAGCATTTAAAACAGGTTTCAAACATTTTAAGACACTTAAAAATGAGCGAAAAAGGAGATCGGGAAGTCAATTGAAATGCATTGAAGCACTGAAACTGCCATGTCTACGTTGGCTTGGACATGCTGTGAGAATGGCTGATGGTTGGATTACAAAAGATCTCCTGTATGGAGAATTAGTGTAGGGAAATCGCCCCAGAGGGAAACCACAGCTGTGATACAAGGACATCTGCAAGCGGAATCTGAAGGCCTTAGGAATGGACCTCAACAGATGGGAAACCCTGACATCTGAGCGTTCAGCCTGGAGGCAGGTGTTGCATCATGGCCTCTCTCAATTTGAAAAGACACTTGTCCAGCAGGCTGAGGCAAAGAGGCAGTCATGAAAGCAGCAAAATCAGGGCGCTGGACAGGGGACAGATTGTATTTGTCTTCAGTGTGGAAGGGATTGTCACTCTCGAATTGGCCTTCTCAGCCACACTAGATGCTGTTCTAAGTACTAAGTACTAAGAGCACGTTACCATAGTCTCTCATGACTGAAGGATGCCTAGTCAATGCATTTATACTTCAAGAGAGAATAATATGCAGCTTAACCTTTCATAGAACATTCAGTTTCACATTAGTTCACTAATCATAGAATTCTAAACACATATCACAGACCGTTTGGTCAATATGAAATGGGTTAGACTTTGCACAAAGGAATCTAAATTAGTAGTGTCCTCTCTTAACAAGATTGCTCCCTCTCCCAAGAAAATACAGAAATGTTCATGCTAGCAGACAAAGCATTCCATTTTTTTCTTAGAAATTAAAAAAAAACTTCCATAATCAGAGCATGGTTTGCTAGACATTTTGGAATTGCTTCAGGGGAGATGTACTGACACTGTTGTTGTTTACCTCAGAACCAACTATTGCTTTGCATTCAATCTCAACATTTTTGTATATTTCTGTATATTTATATATTTTAGATGTTTTATTTGTGGCTGGTCGTTTGACCGTAATAAAGTTTTATCTATCTAAAATCCATTAGCATTTTTGAGTACTAATTAAGGGAAGAATTGTCATTTGGTAGCAAACCATAACTCCTACTCATAAAATAGGACATACATGAAACAAGAAGTTACGCTTGGCATGAAGAAAGAAAGAGGGAGGGATAATAAGACAGTACGTGCAATGTTTTGTGCTGACCTTACTGTGGAATCCAAAATAGAAATTAGAAACTAATGAAATGATTAATCATGTCAGAAACCTAAAAGAGAATTGAAGTCCACTGTCCAAACGTATGTCACTAAAATGCCTGATAGCATAAAGGATCTAATTATACTATTACTTCAAATTAATTTGACACAATCAGTACAGAATATAGTGAACTACTTTAAAGCCTTGAGATTATACACTCCCACCATGGCTTGCAACCTGTGATGGACTTTTGCTCCAGAAATCGGTCCAATCCCTTTTTAAAGGCATCTAGGCCAGATGCCATCACATATTCTGGCAAGGAGTTCCACAGACTAAAAACAAGCTTGGTAAAGAAATATTTTCTTTTGTCTGTTCTCACTCTCCCAACACTCAATTTGAGTGGATGTCCCCTGGTTCTAGTATTGCGTGAGAGGAAAAAGAGCTTCCCTCTACGCACTTTATTCATCCCCTGACCTCCAGTCCTTCCTAGAGGGAAGAACTCAGAAGGTAGTATTGGGGAACTTCTGTCTGATGTCCTAGTTGCTGACCTGTGGTGTTCCCTCAAGGTCCTGTCTTGTCCTCAATGCAATTTAATACTTACGTACATGAAACTGTTAGAAGAGGCTGTCCAGAGCTTTGCAGTTCACTGCCATCTGTATGGTGATGACTGGCAACTCTATCTCTCTATCTAATTTGTAGGAAGCTGTCTCAGTTCTAAAGTGATGCTTCGTATTAGGAATGTGCTGGATGAGGGCAAACAAACGGGTATTTATTATTAGCTAATTAATTTAGTATTTTTATTATTTTATCCTTACCACTGTATTGTTTTAACTTGGAACTGTGATAGCACAATAAAATAATGAAATAAAATACAAACATATAAACAAACAAACAATGCATTAAACTCCACCCAGTGTGATCTGGATCACGAATAGCCAATCCAAATAAATTATTACTTAATCAAAAGTATTCAAAAGAAAACAGATGAATGCAATTATCTTGGAATCTGTGGGAAAAGGTCATAATTTAGTAGTACCATTGCCTTCTCTTAATTTGAAATTCTGCAGGACCAGTATCCCCTGAATCCTGCCTAACATATCTAATAACTGCTTCTCTGCTTACAGACCATTATTGTCCTACAACAATTAATGGAAGATACAGTAAGCAAAAACAGCATACTAAAAAGGAAGCTTGGTTAATTACATGGAACAAAGAAGTTAACAACTTTCAAAACAGCTATGGTTTTTTTGGTTCTGGATATGTAGCAACGACAGGTAACATGCAGATCACATATATTTAAAGGGCTAGCACTGCACAAACTAGAATTAAATAAAGTGTTTTATAAACAGATTTTCAAAGTAAATGAAGGAACTCTTTTGAGAGTCCCATTCTACAAAACAATAGAATACAATATTTCTGTAGCGCTTCTCCAACCTAATGGACTGAGAAGCTGTTGCCCCAACTCGTGGATTATATAGTTTCATATTAAGTTCAAATTTACTTGTTTTTGATTCAAACACTAATATTATGTGGCACTACTGTCATAGCAGTAAATCCCTTAGTTATCACTCTGACATTATAATAAGCAGCACAGTCATTCAACTGCTATTCTATGACTACTGACACAACACTGTAAGCATTTTAGAAAGTGCAGCTTCTTTTCTGCAATGCTAATTCTGAAGATATATGTGAAAACTCACAGTAAAATGACCAAATATAACTCCAGTCCAAAGCTTCAGCATTCCTGGAATAGGAACTTTGTCCTATTTTGGGAAGCTTGCAAAGAAAAGGAGCAGCTGAAGAGAAAAGCAATACCTTTTCCTTTTCTTGCCCTCTTGAAGTCTTCCCCTACTGATCTACATAGTGCTAAAGAAGGGGTAGGGAACATGTGATCTATCAAATGTGGATGGATTGCAACTCATCCCACAACTAATTACAATTGGCTAGAGTTGTTGTGGTAGCACTCCAACATCTGGATGACTTTGCATTTCCCAAGGTTTTAGCCTGGTTTCCAGCCCTATAAGTCCTTTGCTAAATGGTGGAAACAGAGAGGCTCCTGGAACTTTTTTTTTTAGTCCTTTTTTCTAGAAATGTACCTTACTGTGTGCAGAAGGGATGTTTTTAACGTCATGATGTGCATCTTCCCATCTTTAAGGTTCACTGATGTTGGCTGTTGAGGAAAGAACTTTCAATAGGTGGGTCTTAATTTCCTTTATACAGATTTGCTTTTGCAGTTGTATGTCAAATATGCTCTGACATAATTTGTTTTTGTATCAATAAAACTTGTTGTATTTTTACCTGTAAGTTGCTAAACCGCAGAAGCCTGTGCTGCAGGGTCAGAAGACCAAGCAGTTGTAAGATCGAATCCACGCGACGGAGTGAGCGCCTGTCGCTTGACCCAGCTCCCGCCAACCTAGCGGTTCGAAAGCATGCAAAGGCGAGTAGATAAATAGGTACCATCTCGGTGGGAAGGTAAACAGCGTTCCGTGTCTAAATCACACTGGCCATGTGACCACGGAAAGATTGCCGTCGGACAAAACGCTGGCTCTATGGTTTGAAGAGCGGGATGAGCGCTGCCCCCTAGGGTCGGACACGAATGGACAAAAATTGTCAAGGGGAACCTTTACCTTTACCTTTTTCTAGTTCTGGGGTAAAGGACTACATAGTCAAGTAAATGAATAAGAGCCCATACTAGCATAATCTTCCCATACTATGTTAGAGCAACAGTAAGGCTGCACTTTCTCTTCTGTTCAGCTTCAGTGTCCCGCCGCCCAACTCTGCCCAAATATGTGGGATTTGGTCTGGTTATAAACTGGATGAATTCATTTTTTTCTACTGATCACATAACACAAAAGCTAATTAGAATCAGTCTGGTACTTCTTGCTCCTGATGCAGAATTTCTTCTACAACACTGGGGGCTTTTACTTTTTTCCAAGTTGGAACTATTGGAACAGGCATTTCCCCATGTGATCAGTTGTTTCCTTCTGCAATAGGATGGGGACCATGTCTGTAGGTGGTATCGTAATGATGTAGACAGTTGGGGTGTGATGTTTAGGAACTGTAGGAGCACCCTCCCCCCATTTGTCCCCTGAGCACTTAAAAAAATAAGTCTAGCATTTAGTCATTGCATTGCTTGTTGTTGTTGTTTGTTGTTTAGTCGTTTCGTTTAGTCCGACTCTTCGTGGCCCCATGGATCAGAGCACGCCAGGCCCTCCTGTCTTCTACTGCCTCCTGGAGCTGGGTCAAATTCATGTTGGTCGCTTCGATGACACTGTCCAACCATCTCATCCTCTGTCGTCCCCTTCTCCTCTTGCCCTCACACTTTCCTAACATCAGGGTCTTTTCCAGAGAGTCTTCTCTTCTCATGAGATGGCCAAAGTAATGGAGCCTCAGTTTCAGGATCTGTCCTTCCAGTGAACACTGAGGGTTGATTTCCTTCAAAGTGGATAGGTTTGTTCTCCTTGCAGTCCAGGGGACTCTCAAGAGCCTCCTCCAGCACCACAGTTCAAAAGCATAAATTCTTCGGCGGTCAGCTTTCTTTATGGTCCAGCTCTCACTTCCGTACATCACTACAGGAAAAACCATAGCTTTGACTATTCGGACTTTTGTTGGCAAGGTGATGTCTCTGCTTTTTAAGATGCTGTTGAGGTTTGTCATCGCTTTCCTCCCAAGAAGAAGGCGTATTTTAATTTCATGGCTGCTGTCACCATCTGCAGTTATCATGGAGCCCAAAAAAGTAAAATCTGTCACTACCTCCATATCTTCCCCTTCTATTTGCAAGGAGGTGATGGGACCAGTGGCCATGATCTTAGTTTTTTTGATGCTGAGCTTCAGACCGTTTTTTGCACTCTCCTCTTTCACCCTCATTACAAGCTTCCTTAATTCCTCCTCATTTTCTGCCATCAGAGTGGTATCATCTGCATATCTGAGGTTGTTGATATTTCTTCCGGCAATCTTGATTCCGGCTTGGGATTCCTCCAGTCCGGCCTTTCGCATG